CTCAATGTTTACAGCTTTTAATTTAAAACAGAGAAACAACACAAAATATTATACGCGACCTATAAATACGACGTTTCTTTGTTTACCTACGTTCTTTTATGTAAAATAGAAGGCAAACGAGCAGACGAGCCACTTGCTGGTGGATGCTCATCGTCGCACGACAACGTTACATCTGTGCTGCAACGTCAAATGAGGTGTCTATGAGTTGCCAGCCTTTGAGAGTCCTGTTGACACGATTTTTGAAGAACCCCATACCACGGCGCAAAGGAAATACTAAAAATAATAAATAAATAGTAAATAAATACTTTGAGGAAGTTTGACGTATGACGTCACACCTACGAATAACGTCACGTGGTGTGGTTGATGTTTCAATAACGGATTTAAAAAAATCCATATTTTATTTATTGATTTAAAAATATAGTTATATTAAAAAAATATTGATTGCACTACACTTACAAACATTATTTGTAACTACATTTTCGATTTATTTCCAATTTGTAAAAGTAATACAATAAAGACTTCTCTAAAATCATTCACAAGTACACGGCGCCAAGCAGTAAACATGTTCTAACCACAAAAAAACTGGATATTAATGGTTAGTATAATTTTCATATCACTTACAAAATGTAGTAGTAAACGTTAAAAGTAACTTTAAAGTTTATACTTTAAAGTTGCTTAAATCATTATATCAAAGAACGCCGAACTCTAGTGGAATTACATCTATTTGCCAAGTTTTATTAAAATCGAGCACCGGAAAGTGCGCGAAACCGGATTTAACCCCTAGTTCGCCACCCTAAGAGGAGGAATATTTTCTTCAAATTTAAATGGGACCAATATACTATTTTAAAAAAAAAAACCATCATAATCGGTTCACAATGTCGGAGCGCAACATACGTATAAAAAAATACACACCGTCGAATTGAGAACCTCCTCCTTCTTTAAAAAATAAAAATAATAAGACATTTATTCGTAAGCACATTTGCAATAAAAAGGTTAACAGTTTCGGAAATGTGGACTCTAGTGCCAATGAAAACGATGGAACCTCAGTACTACATGCTGCTTTTCAGTTTCCACCTTCATACATGGACATCCGCTGCTGACAATTGTCAAACTTCACAAGAATTACATTTCAAATTTGTAGGACATGCTTAAAATTAATTTATTATTTCGATGAGCACACTAGTATATTTATTACATGTAAAAGAACATTAAGAGGGAGCAGAGGAAAAATTCCTAATCTTCGATTTGATTTTAGAGGGGTATATCCACTTTAAAGTTAAAAATAAAATATTGTATACGTAACTACACGATATATTCAAGCATAGACACTAATCAGAAACATAAAACAATAAAGTTTCCTCGATAGATAAAAATCACGAAATGACCTCTAATTTTCACATTTTTTCGATTTATTCTCGAAATGCTACAGTTTATTAGGACAAAAATTAGATAATTAATTATATTTATGCATGATCGAGAACTGTCACTACGGATTTTTTAAATCCCTTTAGTTTTAGAGTTATTCCGCTAAAACGAATTTGGTACTTTTAATGCGCAAAATTCAACATCTCCTGTCGCATGTCACGCGAACATATATTTGTTTCAGAAATTTGGGCGGAGCCAACGTCAAAACTTTTTTGGCATGCTCCCTCTTAAATACCCGATACAAACGAAACTGGAACAAATCTCAACTTCTTACGTACTTTTAAACTTACTTAGGTGACAAATAAACTAAGAATAAACTTAAAATAAATAAACTATTTGTTACGTTTTAATGCAATTACGATAACAATTTAGTCCAGCAACATTGTGATTTTTGTATATTTAGCTGCCATTGCGTACACTTTCTTTGGAAAGTGTGCAATATATTATTAAAAAAATATATTTAAAATAATAAATACTTTCATTTTCCATGTAAATGTTTCGCAAAAACCTAAAGTACTCGATACGTATCAGTTTATGATATTTATCTCAAAAAACAGATACGGCTAACTTCACCACTTTATAGAATGTAAGTTGATCCCAGGACTACCGCTCTACAGCGAAGTAACCACTGAGTGACATGTGATAAGACAGAATGAGAACTTAGATACGCTTACTACTTATACACGAGTTAACCAAACCCGTTTAGATTTGAATCTGACTGTGCAATCGGAGCAAAAAAGACTTCTTGACACATCTAATGGAACTAGTTTTGGATGTAACTTGAGCAACATCTGGGCTGGGTACATGAAAGGTTACAATATTCATTGTAATGCATATTATGGTTTACTACCATGATACCTAATAATACTCCAATAGTTTGTTATAATTATTAATGCAAAAATCCAACACAAAGAAAAATTCGTTGCCCTGGTGGAATTATTCCTTGTGTTAGACCTTTGATTCAATAATTAAAGACTCTATGATATAGGAAATGAAACTATTATTTCATAATCTAACGTTTCGGGCCCTTTGCACACCAACTCTCCGTCGTAACAGTAAGTACCCATTGCTTAGTTAACATGCAGACGAAAAAAGAATTATTAGAGCGACAAAAAGTAATATAACCCTTCTAAATCTGACAACTACTTACGAGTAAAGCGGGAAGAAAGTTAAACTTTTTTTTAGTGTTAGCATAGATATAGTTTAATAGCAGTAGAGCGCCTTAAGAAAGTGTTCGTCCAGGGAAGTTCTACCACCTTACTTATTTCTGCCGTCAAGCAGTAATTTTAGCATTAGTGTGTTCCGGTTTTGAAGAATAAAGGTGAAATTACAGGCACATGGGACTTGTCAACTTATGCTTCAGGGTGATCTTTGCGATTTAAAGCTCTGAGTGGCACTGCAACTGTTATGGACAGGCGTGCGCTTACCAGCAGACGCACGACTTGTTCGTCCCGTCACATGTTATTAAAAAAAATCAAGTTTAATTTACAGTATTCTACTCTATGGTTTCCATTTTCCATTTACCTATAATCTTCAATATACAAGCTTGTATGAATTCACAATGTCATTCAAAAGAAAGTTTGCGTTTATCCAATGATAATAATTCTTGACATTCCGCAGAACTATAGAGCATTCATAGTCAGCTGGATAATTTGACGTGACAAGTCAATGTCAAGTTGAGATCATGAGAAATTCCCATCAAAGTATATTTGGAAACCGGCTGCCTCAACATCACGCTTTGAGGGCATTCTTTGATAATTATAGATGTTAGGTTGTAGCGAGATTTTTATCAGTTCCATTTAATATGTGAAAAAGCTAAACCGGTTCCACAGCTACAAATCTTGATAACACATTCTACGAATGTTCAAACTATTATCGTATTAATTCATTTGTTTTCTGCATCTTTAAATTTTGTGATCAAACTAAAGCTATGCACAGTAAGAGGGTTTGCGCATCAAGTCAGATTATTATCAGTTCCGAATCCGGGCAATGACAGTCTGAAATATTTATTTATTAAATCATATTGACCACAAGACATGATGTTACAAAAGGCGAACATAAAGCCAAAACCATTCTCTATTACTATTATTATATTAATAAATTATATATTACATATTATTATTTAAAATATATTAATAATAAAACCAAATATTACGTTAATAATAATTTATATGTAATATAAATCATATTTAAATATAAGTATTACGAACGAACAAGCGAACCTAATACATACATACCCATTTAAATTTGGAAAGAGGGTACCCTCTTTCCAGCAAAAAATAATCATCAATATCGGCTCACAGATAATAGGAGTCATCGTGTAACATACACAAAAAAATATGGTCGAATGGAGGATATCCTCCTTTGAAGGCGGTTACAAGGGATATTATCGAAAAGCCGACGGCTCGCCGTCATTGTGGAAAACGAGAAAGGGTGTGGTTTTGTTTTCTTTGAACTTATATCAAAAAGATTTAATTTCTATATATTCTGCGAAGATTTTAAACAAGCGTTTCTTCATCATCCAATATAAGTCAAAGTTAAATAATCTTTTATTCCATAGGTAAAATTTTTACACTTGAAAACGTCATTTTTTAAGCTACTGCTCGTTCACTACGCTGACCTCCCTGAGAAGAACGAGCAAGAAACTCTAGGGATTGCTCTTTTCAAATAAACTTAAATGCTATGGAATACCCTTTGAATCAAATGTGTGTGGAATCTAGGCTCACGTTGTCTTTCCATACATCTTTATCTAACACGTAGTATACAATTTTTTAATATGATTTTTCAATTAAAATTCTTTTAATGTAAGCTTTAAACTTAGGAAATTATTATCTTAATATATTCTTCGGAATCTTATTGTAAGTTCAGTTCCCCATAAAAGAAACGTTTATCTTAGTTAAACGAAATCGTGGCACCATGAGTTTGGACTTAGTTCTAAGGTTAATATTATGGATATCTTCTTTCTTAATTAAATTATGTGTATCTTTATGGGCGTGCAAAATATTTGAGTAAATGTGTGTGTATAGAGTTAGCAACTTATGCAAAAATCATATTATACTTAAAAATGATCATCTCTAAAATCTGTCAGACAATGGAACTACAATCGCAAAAACGAAACGATAATGTGGCAAGAGTGGTAAAAAGCAGTTCGATGCACCCGCAAAACTGCCGACCACGACAAAATGTTCACACACTTATCGTCATTCGACCACCTACACAGCTGTTTACTACCTATATACATTAGTTCCAGTTACTAAATTACCTTAGGCACCTACTGGCACATGGCTGGCATATTAAATGCTGTCTTGTTTAAGCCCGAGGCTTCGTAACTAATGATTTTGTATAAAAAAAACCAATAAACCTTTCAATTATCTTTTTGATCTACATTTTAAGAGCCAAACTTGATAGATTTTATTACAGCAACTTCATGTTATGTAGTTTAGAGGCAAACAAAAAAACAAGTTGAAATTTAGCTGTATCTGTGTCAGGATACATGAACTACACTGCATTTACTTGAATTGAAACTCCTTGTATGCTATTGTGCTGGTAAAAAATACTAACTTTGGTACACTTACCTCCAAATCTCTGAAGACATCACGTATGTCAGGTTTTCTGGCTCTGGAGGCTGCTTTCTTTCTTCTCACAGTCCTGTTGAGTCTTCTGACTCGCCTGCGCACGGCAGCAGCTTGCTCTCTCGGCAGAGGACTCACGGCTTCCCCCAACTGCGCCTCGGTCACTTCCAGACCAGCTTGGAATGGGGCCGCTAAGGATGCGAGGCCAGCAGCTTGCAGCCATTCCGCTTCTAGTTCGCCTTCTGTTAGGACAAAGAGAGAACGTTAGAATGAATGGTGAAGATCAGGATTGTTTTTGAAGTATAATACCAGCTACATGTTTTTTTTTCTTATAGTACGTAATAACCTCAACAAATTGATAAAATTGCAGGAAACCGAACTACTATTATAAATAGTTGATGATAGTCCACGGAAATTGATCATCTAGTGTTTTTGCGTTAAGCCGACGCACACCGAACAGTAGTTTGTAAAAACCCTGAGAAATAATTGTTTCGCCCTTCGTTCCTTCACATATCCATCTTAAGTTATTATCCAAACAATCTTCCGCGACTTGACACGCAGCAAAAACTAAGCTACCTATTACTTACATGGCTTTTGTGCATCATATATGATCCATGAATGTATGGTACTTTTTGTGTGTGTAGTTTGGAAGAAGTCTCGAGTAAAAAATACGAAGGTCAAAGAACTTATTTGCACGCTTTAACTATTAAACTATACCAAAGCTTTTGGTACCACTGTTTCTGGGTACAAAAAGGTAATCATCGTAAAGATATCAGGTATTACTTCCCGAAGAAAAAACTGGGAAGATTGTGTAGTATATAGTTTTGGTGATAACCAATCAGTCAAGCTGTGGGAATTCTTTTAATGATGTTGATTGTTACATTACAGTTCACTTCCTAATGCACGTCCCGTCAACATAAAAAGGTAAGTATTATAAGTTATAAATCTTTGAAACATTTGAATGACGTGAGACATTTTTTCCTGTCGTAAGATTGAAACTCAAACAATGAACTTTCATTATGAAAGAAGACAGAAGACAGAAACGGAAACAAAATTGTTAATTCAAACCAATACTTATTTGGAAACAATTTTCTGACTTTCAGGCTATTTCATACAGTGGTTGGAGATAATCAATTCGATAGATTAGACGAATACAAAACAATTTCTTTAACAGCCGTGAAAGCTAAAAAAGGAACTTAAAAGAGAATACAAGAAAATGAACAAATACAAGGTTTGCATTTTGCTAGACAACACGAAATACGCAACTTAGCAAAATATCACTAGTTTCTTAACAGTCCAACAAAAAGGCTTTCAAACTAAGGTCATTGCATCACACATCGATGAAATCATATCGACAAATGAATTCGCAATAACGGCATCTCAATTTGATGCCATAAAAGCAAGCCGGCAAGCGTATGAGGACACCTACACACATGAATAATTAACTTATCAATCATAGATTGAGAGACAAAGAACCGTCGTACTTTTAGTTCATGATATTTGTAAAGATCGGTTTATTTAATTGCTCTTTGCTGTTAGTTATTGTAACGGATCAGACAAAAACAAATAATTTGATGTAACCATAGAGATAGCTACGTTCAAGAGTGCATTGAAATAAATATCTGATTTTACTACCCTAACAGGTTAAAACGAAGGGGAAAGCCGTTCAGATTTTAGAAATAAATATAAACTGTAGATGATCCACTGCCGTGCGCAAAAAATACGGTCAAGTTTTCATTTATTGATATTTATTTGCAAAAAATAAGGACAGCTTTCATTCATCAAACGCGGCATTAACGAAAAGAACAGACAAAACAAAAGTAAAAAAGCCTCTAACAAGTGAATCACGACGACTGTTTTTTGTTTGTAACAAAAACGTTGAGAGTTGATCCGTGCTTTCTCCTCTTAACCTTCGGGTTAAAAATAAAGAATAAACATCCCGTGTAAACTTACAAGTTAAGACCATACCTACAGGTGTTTCATATTTTGGGAACAAAAATGCTATAACTATCTTTACTTCCACGTCATATAAAATATGTTCCAATTGATGTAGATCTAAGGGTCGTATTCCAGAACTCTACTCAATAATCAAGTCAGGACTTGAGACAGTGAGCACTGAAAATCATACTCAAGTCCTTGCCATTAGGGTCGTATTTCCAGTGCTTGAAATCATACTCAAGTCTACTCAAATCCTGACTTGAGCATTGAGTAGAGTTCTAGAATACGACTCTAAAAGTGTCATCTACAGACTGGAACAAGTCTAAAGAACATTAAAGCTTTTTTAACACTGCAACATGAAACATATTGTGAGTCAAGTTATTGGCCAATGAATTCGTTAAAATATGTTGGATCTTCAAAAGAGAACCGCAACAGGATGCGTATATTTCGCACGAGCCTGCTACTTCTAAATATAGTCTGACTGATTCGACTGACTCAGCGGTTAACCAAAACACTTTTTTTTCAGCCACTACTTAGCTCTCATCACTTCGTTTGTATATAATTCGTCGAATTGGGATAAAGAACTTAAATTTTTCTGTATGTCTCTTATTGGTTGTATTAGAAAGCTTTCGTAGCAAAAAATTTCGTCTATGATCGCAAAAGCTGGACAACAATGGCAACATGTCTTTGAGCATGCAATTAAATGGTTGCACATAAAATATAATATAAAAACAATTTATCTTCATTTCAATTATTTTTCAACAATATCATCTGCTTCCCTCTGCGTTGGTCCCAAAATCTTACGGAAGATTTCTAGAGGATCCAAAAGAACCAGAAGCTGGAGGATATTGGGCCGGAGCTTAATTATTATAGGGGGGGAAAGGGCCTACATGGGACGTTGTAGTGATCGATGACCTGTTGGTCGGTCTAAATACCGATGGCGGGAAATAGAGTAAGACCTCCGCGTTCTGCACGCAGAGAATTGGGTGGAGATCTCACCAGAGAGTACGCGCTATTCCAGCTCGTACCGGAGGCCAAAATGAGTCAGCGAAGTAAGTAATATCATATGCTATTCAACACTAACAATTGATTTGTTTTTATTGAAGACTAGTCGCAGAAGGTGAGAGCCAGTTGAGCTGTAATATAGGCCTAGTTGGCTAGTGTAGACTCCCAATTTCTCGCAAGGGTTCAATGATTCATTTAGCATTGTTAAATAAGATCTGTTCCTATATGTCAGATGATATTATAATGTATTATTATTCCTGAGAAACTTAGATCATAATTATATATGCTCTAACCTGAGAAATATGCGAATTTAAATAAGCTTATGATAAATATTCTATTTCCTCAAATTATTGAGCATTAGCGAAGTTCAATGACGCGATGTTACAATGAATCAGCAATCGGCTCACTCAATTGAAAATCACTGCTCGAACCGTGACCGAACTATACTGGCAAAAACTATTTCGTAATTTCATGTTAGATCATTAAACGTAGCCATGGTTCCTTTCAGTTGGAACAAAAATTGGTAGATGGAAAACAATTGGGAAATTCACATTGCTTGAATATCAAATTCCCGTTGTTCTTTCAATCCCTGATGGAGACCCGTCACCGTGCAGTGAAACGTGTATGGGTCGATACAGAAAATTTCAGAAATTGGCCAATAAAACGTTATTCTTATTAACAGAATAAATTAATAATGAAGAACATTAAGTCTAGACTACTATCAGAACCGTTGTCGCTAAAACTCACATTATTATAATGTTAAATACCATGAAATCTTAATAATAACTGGCCGTAGTTTCTAATTTAAAAATATGTAATAAATTCTGGACTGTTCTTACACGGATACCTAACCGGCTAAGTGCACATTTCGCCTAGTAGCTTCAGTTAGGAGAGCAAAGTCCGCGTTTGGCGAAAATGTATCTGGTTCAAGTGTAAAGAATTTTCCTTTGAGTTTGTTCGATGTTTGTATCAATTAGCGATGCGCGACTCAGAATGTTACTAATACTAATCATTCGAATGGGCAAATCATTCGCCTAAGTCCAATCTAACTAAGCACAATCATTCGACTCGACACGAATGATTACCGATACCGAATGCCCCTCCTGCCGTACAGGCGAGGACACGAATCAATTGATCGGGACAACTCTGAACCCTTCACCAAGTTATATATTTAATATCTATCAATTTATCCCTATCCTCGTTAAATTTACGGTATTTACCATAATGTCAGAGAGGGCAAAGACGAAATGTTCTAAGGCACCTATGGATTACTAATGAATGATCATTTAGATCATTCGATTACGAAAGTCAGTAGGTTACTAATTTGTCATTCAAATGACAGGATTAGTAATTACTAACGAGTCGAATATCGAAATCACTCGCAATCGCGCATCGTTAGTGTCACAATTGTAATTGTAGGCCTTATGCAGGTTCTCTTTAATCCAGTAACTGATCCTACTACCTCAGCAATTCACTCAAATAGAACTACCTAGTAACGATTAGATGATTCAGCTTATACCACACCAATTACAGTTAAAGCAAATTGTTCTATTTCTGTTTCGGAGAGAGCAGGATGTTTTGCTTAGCTCCACTCTCCACAGGGCTATTAATAAATGCAGCATCAATAATAAAACGGGTCAGCCATATCTCTCAATTAACTTTAAAGGCAGAAATTGCGTTTGTTAGAGAAACAGGTCAATGGTTTCGGAAGTCATAATTCATATTAGTTGGTTTTGGTCTTTTTAATCGTGTACGAGGATAGACAGTGCCGCACTTCATAAAAAAAGCTCCGTATTCATGCAATGTGAATAAAAAAGACGTTTGTTAGTCTATATAGTCCCACTGGCGTAGGACTCCTCTCACAACGAAAAGGTTTGGGCTGTAGTTCCCACGCGAGCCCAATACGGACATGGAACGTCACACACATTAAAGCGTGAAACATGCAGGGAGCGGGTGCGGGTTAAGTCGGGACCGCGGCGGGTGCGTTGTCGTCCATATTAATTAATTCACGGAATTAGAACGATGTTTTCCTTCACCATCCAGTTTCAAATTAATAGTGATATTTATTTCATTCATATACACATCCAGTAAAATCAAAAACAGTAGGTCCGTTACACAAAACACTTATCTATGATTGTACGTGATACTTATATAAAATGTTTAAAACTACCAAATACCAAACTAAGCGAAAGTTTGTATTTTAGGATTCAGTGTTCCTCCACTCACTCAAATGTAATTCCACAAATTGTTGATGTCAGTCTTCTTAAATAAAAATAATGAAATTGCACTGCCTACAGGG